GTTACACAATGATGCTGTACTCTGCCTGCAAGATGGACGAGTCAAGCTCTAGACGAATAAACGCATAGATGAGGTTCTACCATCTCGTGAAATGTGGTTTCCTTCTTTTGTCAGTGATGTGTCATGAAACGTCACATGTCCTAATTCAAAACTATTGGCTGCTGACCCGTACTACACCAACTTCTATGAGGGTACCATGGAAGGGGAGCTTCGCGCAGGACAACACCGGCCTTCTTAGTTTGAGTGCAAACTGGGTAGAAGGATGGTAAATCATTTAGGTTTGTCATTCGTAAGCCCATTGCGAAAATCGTCATACTCTTGAGCGCGAAGGTCAGAACAAGAAGAAGGCAGAACTGTACTGGGGAGAAGGCAAAGTTTGCACAGATAGCTTCCATACTTTCAACTATGAGCGGATGTTTTGCAGCAGGCACATCTCCGCACTATTTTGCAACGGTCTTGCGAAGCTGGGAACGGCATAACAACCAAACCATTTTTTTAATACATTTACAACTAACTGTCGTTTTGGCTACAGTAGTTGAGGCAAAGGTGGGGCTGATAATAGCAAAGTGAAGGGTCTAAATCTAATCCTAACCTGGATCTAATTCAGCTTTTTCATTCCTACCGGGGATCGGTCCTCTTTTCCTCAAGTTTCTACACACTGAACTGGCTCTGTTGTTGAGTCATTGTGTGGGACCAAATTAGCGTTGAAGGCGACGCTCCCGCTGATGGTGAATTGAGGCTCAGTTTTGCCAGAAGATTCCGTAAGCGGTTATATAGCCTAAATCATATATAAAAACTGAATGTGCAGACATTCAGGTTGAAATTTCGGAATGTGCAGGAACTCACGTTCAAATTTGGGCGCACCTCAAGCCAGTGCCAACCCCAAGTGGATATCAGCTAGTAGCTGGTAGCTCGTCCACTGGCTCTCTCTCCATTTAGAATGATGAGAGTGAGGTGAAAAGGAAGAAGAGCTGGAATCGATACGATACCAAGAATAGAGAATTCGTAACAAGGCTTCTCGCCATAGTATGCATGTACAAGCAGCAGGGCATTCTATAAAAGTCATTTCGGAAGGTTTTTTTTTCGATTTTTCCCTTCATATATCGGTAATATCTAGCGCTTTGTCGTACGCATTTGAGATCCTTTACCCACCATCTCTGACTGTAGGCTTTGCATAGAGCTAGGCGACTCTGTTATGAACAGCTAACGCGCTCGTATTCAAAGTGGGACTGCCGATACTGAGGCACGCTATTACCTAATGCCGGCTTTGTGCGCCGGATAATGGTGTAGCAGCAAGTGGCTCCTTAAGTATGGGCGCAGTCAGGGGTTCGAATTCCGGGACTGCTTTCAGACAAACTAACCATGCCTTCTACTCTCCAGAGCTGGCGAATTGGTGCCAGTTCCGTCTAATTAATTGAAATCACGGTATCATACATTTTGCATCACCGCAATTGTCGGGTCGCAATCAGCGGCTCGCACCTGCGGCGTTTCCATCATTGGTTGCTCCCTCCCTAAATCGATCTTTACCCGATCGCCATTGGTAGAGCAACGAGGCCGAACGCCCATTTGGACCGCGTTGCACAGCCCCCTCCGACAGTCCGCAATGATGAGGACTGTACATAACTGGCCCCTGCAAGCGTAGACCATTTCGCATTCAGTAAGTCACTACGATTCTGAATGGAAGTGGAGTGGTGGCTGCTTTGCAAATAGGACTAAGCGTTTTCCTTTTATCCTTTATTCTTGCCGTTTACTTAATGATTATTTATTTGCCTTTTGTCCTCACTTACCGTTACTTAAAGGTGGCGAATTTAGGTGCTGGCCACTGATATGTCAAAGCATATGTCCCTTTTGGCCGATCTGAAAACGATGGTAGAAGCGAAGAAAGTCGCCGGAAACAACGTGATCGTTCTTGGATAAATACAACGATAAAATACAGGTGGGTAATTTGATGAAGTCCGAGTAGACCCACGATGAGAGCGACTTTCTGCAGGTGTTGCAATCGATGATTCACCTTGCGGATTTATCGAATCCGACGAAGCCGATTGAGCTCTATCGACAGTGGAATTCGAGGATCCTCGAAGAATATTGGCGACAAGGCGATCGAGAAAAAGAGCTCGGTATCGAGGTGTCACCTATGTGTGATCGGGGGAATGTCACCATCGAGAAGTCTCAGGTGAGCGTATAATTCTTCTCCCAAGATGTAGTGCGTCTCGCCCGGTCAGGTCATCTACTGAGCCTCCATGTGTGTTTACCAAGTGAGGCGATCATTGTAGTAGTGCGAAATTTAGACTATGTTCTATAACCATTCCAATGTACTGCTTTATGAAATCTTCATCATTTTGGATACACACACTCAAAAACTAAGTTGTGTTTTCAAAACACTTTAACGCACTTCAAAGCAGGGTATGGCATCGTCTCAAAATCCCTTTGGAGGTCCGTCTTTGCTGCTGGGAAGTGTAGTCGCATCCCGCTCGGCGAGGAATTCTCTGAGCAGAACGATTCTTCCCTGGTCTCGTTTTTACCGCTGAACGGTATCTGCCATGGAGAAATAAGTGGTAAGGTGGTAGCTATGATAGAGAAATCAGAAATCTGGAAGGGGCCATCCTGGAGCCAGGGCACGCCATCTTTGTGATCATCACAACGGGGGGGGGTCGTATTTGCCCGCGATGGAGGGGGGTCGTAAACGCATGGCCCATGTTGAAGTGGAGAGAGCGGTGATACACGGTACAAGTGAAAAGAAGCTCAAAAGGGACGATGTAGATGACAATAAATAGAACTAGGCACTATCGAACTATTCCTAGGCCAAGAACTAAAAAATATTGCCGCAAAATCTAGAAAAGAATCCATTGCAAAAGCTACCTATGAAACCGTAGAAATTGAATCCTGAGCAATTTCCTCACAACAAAATCAAACTCAACAA